GTGTACATATTGCTCTTGCAGAGGACCTGAGTTCAGATCCCAGCACCCATGGCATGTGGTTAACAAGCACCAGGAACTCCAGTTCCAGGAATGTCTTTGGCCACATAGCATACCTGTACTCACACACACACACACACACACACACACACACACACACACACACACACACATAAACATGGAATTTTAAAAAACTTAAAATGAGAAACTGGACACAGAAAAAGAACTTGGCTAATCAGCATGCCAAGAGTGGTCTTGGGAGTGTTCTTTGGTGTGGTTTTTAAGGCTGCTACATCTCAGGACTTCCATCTCTTGATCAGCACAGAAAAAGTATTTGCCAGGTAGCTCACAATAAGTAGTTCCACCAGGCGTTATCAGGGGCTTACATTTTTTATCACCCTCAAAGACTGACACACCTATTTTCTTTTAAGATGCTCATCATATTATAGGAAGGAAGGGTGAGAAAATGGCAGCTTCTCCCCTTCACAACTGAAAAATCTGAAATTTAAGTGGCTGCTCCAGAGCAAGTTGGGAGCAGAACTGGCCACTGCCAAGTCCGCTCCAACCCACTGCCAATTTTCGCTATAAAGATGCAATTGATTGTAAATTATTCATAAAATATGGTGTTTCTTTTGAAGTGATTTTATTGTTTCCCATTTTATCCAGAGCATTGCATATTCATCACGGAGAATTTAGAAAGAACAAATAAGTACAGGGAAGAAAGTCAGGATCAGCCATAGCTGCACCGAAAGATAGCGTCGTTTGAGAAGGAAAGGGCAGCATTCGAAGCCCTGCCTAGTCTGCCGTCCTGAGACTGTCACAAGGAGAGGGAGAGCTCCAGAGTGCCAGCCATCAGCAGCTGGAGACAGAACAGGGTGGCTTCCTGAGGGATGCTGGAACAGTGCTGAAGGGACAGCGCTGTCTGAAGGGAAAAGCCAGTCAAAACTTTGTTTGGGCTTGGTTCCGGGGACAGTTTCATATAACCAGGGCTGGCCCTGAAGTCACTGTGTAGCCAGACTGAACTTCTGATCCTGTCTCCAAGGGCTAGGACGACAGGCCCCCACCAGCACCCCCTGCTGTTTTACATATCACTGGGACTGGACTGCAGGGCGAAGTTGAAGATACTAGTGTCCCCATGAGGAGTGAACTGGGGGAAAGAATGCATGTGATGCTGTAGGATGGAAGGGAGAGGGAGGGGTATTGCCCTCAAGAGCGAAGCAGAGGAGTGAGGCAGAAGGCTATGTGTATATGTTGAGCTGAAGGGCAGGGAAGCAGGCATGTGATGGTAAATGGAGAGTCTGTGGAAGTCCTCTGCTGCTGCTTCTTGTGAGCTGGTTTTTTTTTCCCATCCAGTAGCAAGAACTGGGTGCAAGGGTGAAGAAGAGATGAGAGGAGCTTCAGAGGAGAGGGTAGAAACAGTTGTCTCAGAGAGGAAGAAAGACACTGACTCCAAAGGAGCCTTTGAAGCCCTCAGCTTGGTTTTGGTTCCAACTAGCTACACTGGCAAGAATTGCGGTAGACCTGGTGTGTTCTGTTTAATCAGGATTGCGGGCAATTAAGCCAGAATGATGAAACTACATAAGAGTAAGGCAATGATAGAGATGGGAAAGAAGGTTCTGGAAAGTGAGAAGAAGGCACTGTGTAGATGGATCACACTGGAGGTTAAGGTCTGTGGGTAGTGATGTGAGAAAGATGTGGACTAGAAAGAGAGAAGGTCCTAGCCAGAGAGGTGAAGTGTGGGATTGACAGAATCCAGTGTGTCACATCTCTCAGTGACAACAATGTCTGTGACTGGCCTTGAGAGTAAGTGGCTGAATTAGAGATGAACAAAACTGTTAATGGCCAGACTTCAAACAGAGAGGCCACAATAATAGAAGCAGCGTGTGCACCTAGAATGAAATTAGCAATTAAGATAGATCCACAACCAGTCAGAACGCCGAGAATAAATGACTATGGAGTGCCCAGTCATATATCCACAATGCAACCCCTATACCAAGGCTTGAAGGAAAGCACCACAGGCAGAGGCAGAAAGATTATAAGGCTGAAGGATGAGGATGTCTCACCCCAAGATGAAGAGCTACAAAAACTTCAATGACTACTGAGTTAGAGAAGCAGTCTTCTTGGACACCATCAACTAGATAGCTTCTCTAATCTGTGCGCACGCATACAACAAGAATTACAGAAGAGGCCAGGAGTGTGGCAGGGAATAGGTGGGGTTGTAGGAAGAGCTGAAGTGGGAGAGGAAAAGGTAAAAAGGATGTAAATACAGTCCTCATGCATGAAATGCTCAAAAAAGTAAACAAAAATTAAATTAATGTTACCAAACAAAGCTAGATCTGCTAAAAATTCATAGACTAGTATTCACAAAAATTTTTCCAAAGACGGAGTCAAACTAGAATAATATTAAACAAAGCCAGAGCTGCTGAAAAAAATGATAACGAGACCAAGGTAAGTATATGGCTTCTCACTACATCATCCAATAACATTAGAATGATGGAATCATGTCTGGCTATCAGATTGAAGAACCCTGATGGTTGAAGCAGTGTGATGTTACCTAATTTGAAATTGTTTAACAATGGAGATTTGTTTTCTTAATGGATTCACACAATAAATAAACAAAGAATATAAAAAAATTTTCAAATGTACATGCTCCCAGAATCCCATGCAAGGGAAAGTCTATCCAGATGAACAGTGTCCTTGGATAAATGCCAAGATTTATTCTTATAGATGCTTAATTGCTGGTGATCACCTTGAGCTAGGGGAAGCTTAGACAATGTTAGAGCAGGTTGGTCTTAGCTCCTGTGTCCTAGAATGTGACCTCTAACTGCTGCTCTGTCTGAGGTTTTAAATGACACTTGAAGATGTTGACCCAGCTCCTCTAAGCCTGGCTCGATGCAGCTGTAGACAATCACAAGTGCAGAAGTCTCTGCTGGAACTTTCAAGGTCTGGCTGCCACTTGTCCTCTGGGAGCCTGAGTTCTTTCCCTGTCTCCACACACACCATTGAGAAGGCTTTCAGGGAGTGAAGAGAAACCAGCCCGCGCACATCCCTTTCCAGCACATCCCTTCCCGGATGGCTGGCTGGTGACTAGAGACTGTGACAGAAGTGTGCCTGTCACTTCCTGCTTGATCTCATTGAGTAGACTAGGCTGAACCCTCTAGAGAGGTGCTGATACCATGTTCTGCTTTCACAGGACAGCACTCCTTCAGTCTTTATTGCTCTATATTGCTCCCAGGCACCTTCCATTGCTTATGTAACACATAATTTATAGACTAGGAGGAACACCCCGACAGAAACCACGTTCTCACTACGTGCAATCAAACCCTCCTGTGGTCAGTGAAACACACCCTGTATCTCGTTATTTTCTATTCAAAGCCCTGCAAAAGACCACCTCACATCCGCACTGCTGGCTGAGGTTTGGGTATGGCTCTGTAAGGTCCAGACCCTTTGGTGGGAAGGTATTACAGAGGCAAGGCTGGAACCAGGGGTAAGCATAGGGCAAAAGCAGCCAGGGAGAAAGTAGCGAAGAGTTCTGGAAGGGCTCAGGAGGAAGAGTAAGATGAGGGGTAGGAGGGGGGCAGGAATGCTTGCTCTCCCCTCACCGGGTCCTGCAGAAGCCGCTATACTGCTTGCCAGAACCCAGCTCCTCTGAGAACTCGGGGTCCAGAAGGGTCCACAAAGCTGTCCCTCAAAGGGCTTCGGGCATGGAAAAAGGTTTAGATCTTAACCTTTAAAATGTGAGAAACTGGCAGAGGTGTTCTTACCACGTGGGCCAGGGGAGTCACAAGCATGCCTCCCCAGATGTGGTGGTGTTTCAAAGCTACATTTTTTTTTCTTTCTCTCTCTCTAGGTCTGGGCATGAAACTTCCTAACATTCCAGAAAGGAAGTACAAACTTCCATTTTCTCTCAAAGACATTTAAAACAGGCTCTTGGACTGGGAAGAGGGCTCTGTTGGTAAAGTTCTTACTACTTAAGCATGAGGACCTGAGTTTGATCCCCAGGACTCAAGTAAAACAGCTGGACATGGTGGCGCACATCTGTAATCCCCACACCGGGGAGGTGGAGACAGGAGGGTCCCTGGGGCTCCTGGAATGCAGCTTAACAAATCAGTGTGTTCCAGGTTCAGTGAGAGACCATCTCAAAACAATCAAGGCAGATGGACAGAGATGACTGGACAAGTAAAAACAGTTGCTGCCCAAGTCTGACCTCCTCAGTTTGGTCCCCAGGACTCACATAATGGGGGAAGGAAAGATTTGACTCCTGAACACTGCCTTTTGACCTCCACATGTGTACTGAAACATGTGTGTACACACACACACACACACACCAGCATGTACACACACTAATAATTAATTTAAAAAAACAGTAAGGTGGAGAAATAATTGAAGACACCCAACATTGACCTCTGACCTCCACCATACACATGTATGTGCACCTACACACACACATACACACACCACATGAACACATACATACCCCGACCTAGACACACAAAATAAGCTCTAGCACATGGTAGGTTCTCAAAAATGTTAAATAAAGGAAATTAATGGATAACAAACAACTGAATTAGATTTAATGTGGTTTATGTGACTGTCACCTCCACTCAATATCATTCCAGACTTAATAGCTCTGACTTTAAAAGGCCTTATTTATATATAGTCTCAAAGTCCTTTTTCAAACTCCAATCCCATTCAGAAAGCCTTTGGATTCAGCCTGCCTTCGTTCACCAAATTTATAGGAAAGACAATCTTGAACCATCTGGTGCCTATTTAATTTTTAACCACCTCTCCCTTGAAATATTTCTTTCTCCATTCTTATTTTGTCCTAAAAACTTGGCTATGAGCTAAACGGCACCATCTGTGACTTCCAGTAAATACAACTGTTGCTAATGAAATTACCCAATTTCATCATTTTGATTTAAATGCCTTGCCTGTTTTTCCTCTGACCTTTCGTTGCTTGCCATCAAACGCAAGCGTTTGTGAATTTAGATACATACGTCCATGTAGGTCAGTCTTGAAGAATAAATCTTCTTTGTGAAGCCCAGGAAGATCGGCCAAGCCGGCTCAGCAGGCTGACGTGAGAGGTGGGGGCCAGAGCTGTGCAGAGAAATATGGATGGCACTTGTGCCCGTCCACTCAATGTGCGCAGGGCCCCGGGGCAGACCCCCACCTTGTGACCAAGTGGCCACACGGTCTGGCTTGCCGGCCTCCCATTTGTCAGGATGCTAGTGATATTAATGAGCTTCGGTCCTGGAGTCCATTCCTTGGCCTTCAGAGTGAGTCCTCCCTGCACAGGACTGCTTGACCTGATTGAACAAAAAACAAGTTCAGAGACTCTCAACTTGGCCCAAGTATGGAGAAGGCCTTTCATTAAATGAAAAGAAATCAGAGTCACTCTTGACCAGGTACAACTTTGCCATTTAGACAAAAAGTTATAGCAGTGCCCCAGACAAAGAAATTCAAGGGGCCACAGGAAGTATTTACCCATCAACTCAGCCATCAGGTTATTGTAGGTACAAATGTTTGCCACCATATATTCAAGAAATGGGGCATAGGCCCTGTGAGTTGCCTCGGGGATAAAAGTGCCTGCTGATAAACCTGCTGATGACCTGAGTTTCAGCCCTAGGGACATACATGGTAGAAAAAGAAAGCTGACTCCTGCAAGTTGTCCTCTGATATCTACACATGCCTTGTAGGCATGTGCCTCCCCACAAAGGAAATAAATTAAAACACAACTTTATGAAAGAACTGGGGGTATTATGAAAAACAGTATCTAACTTGGAGTCTTTAAAGTGGGTCCTGGGCTCCACCCTGCAAGAATCCATTCACTTGCTTCTCACATTAGCCCCTGACCCAGAACTGCTATTGTTCCCACACGGCAGCTGAGGACGTGAGGCTCCCACAGGTGAGGGCATTTCCGGGGCACCACATGTCTAACTATGGCTCTGCATCTCTGCATTTCATTGCATTTCCTGGTCTTGCTTGTGACTCGTGTGCTAGAATACTGCTCTGGGAACCAGGGACGCAAAAATGAAAGGGACTGTCTTCGCCCACTGTCTGGGGAAGTGAGACATAAAAATGCAAATCCACCATCTGAGGGAGGCTATGAAAGGGTAGGAAAATCTTCTCAGGTCGCAGCAAGAGGAGAGCGTCTGTCTGGTAAAGATTCACTGCAGCAAAGACTGGGATCGGAAGGGGGAATGGGGACTGGCTAGCTGAAGCTGGAGAATGATGGTGGCAAGCGGAGGGCATAGCACGGGCAAAGGAGGGCATGTGTCTGACAAACAGACACAGGGAGAGCTGGTGCCTGACAAGGGATGGGGGTGTCCTTCTTGTCCCAGCTCAGAAGACTGGGGTCAAGAAAGTCACCCTCGGAACGTGACGCCAGGACTAGGGAGATGCTGTGGGTAAAGCGCTTGCTGTGCAAGTGTGAAGACCTGCCTTCAGATCCTCAAATCCCAAGTCAAGCCGCCTGAGGTAGCATCTAACCCAAGGACTCCTATGGCAATATGGGCGGCAGAGACAGAATTCCCAGCTCTCCTGCCAGGCAGCCTGGCACAGCAGGCTATGAAAGCAAACGAAAGACGTCACCTCAAACAAGAAGATGAACCTCTGACCACCACATGCATGCCATACATAGTACACACACACACACACACACACACACACACACACACACACACACACGTGCGCGTTAAGAAAAAAAACCAAAAAACAAGCAAGCCATGGCCCCAAAGCTTTCTCTCACAGGCATCAGCAAGGTAGGCAAAAAGACCTGGCCCTGGCTGGTATTTACTCAAGAGAACAGCAGGACACGGCTCTTTACATACATAATTGTCATTAGCCCTAAGGATTAGCCAAGATGGCTGTACTCAGCATCCTAAGAAGATACAGAACAGGCTCAAGGGGTAAGCTACAGCCACCAAACTAGCCTGCTCTCCTCTGTATCCCCAGCATTTCTGGTTTGAGAATGCTACCCCAGTGACATCTATATGGAAAAGCTGTTTTTAGTGTCCCAGTGGCAAAGCTGTGTCTGGTGTCTGTAGATGCTGTCACTGCAGTATGGCTAGAGTGACAGACCTCTGAAGTCCCAAACGCAACCAGTAATCGTGCCTTTGGTGGCCATGGTGCTTCCTTATCAGGATGAGCCTTCAAAGCAGCTGATGCTGGGAAGGGGGAGTGATAGGGAGGGCTGCCTCCAGGAACACCTTCACCAAGAGGGGATTGGGTCAGCCGGCTCCTCCAAAGGCCCATGAATGAGTGTATCAGCATTACTGTGCTCCAGTAGAACTTTAAGGCAGGATAGACATGGTTTCAGGCTAGATTTAGTCCTTTGGTGTAATTTGTCTAAGCCCAAATTAGAAGTCCCCCATGAAGGCTGTCATTGGGCCACTGTGTCGCTGTTCCCAGAGGTGGCTTGCAAAAATAATCTTTTTCATTTTCCTCTTGCATGTGTATGTGTGTGGTGTGTGCATCCATGTGTGTTTACGTGTGTGTGTACGTGTGTGTGTGTGTGTGTGTGTGTGTATGTGTGTATGTATGTATGTATGTTTACATGGGCTCAAGTGTGTGAACTCCCAGGTTATATGTTCTCAAACATGAGGAGGAGAGTAGAAAACCATTGAGATTCATGTTCTTTAGTCCCCTCTAGTCAATGTTTTCCAGATTAATTAAGATGTTCTTTCAAGCTCAAACTCGGCCTCAGAATCTTCCCAGCTCTTCCTACTAGGCAAACATTTCCCCGAATAGGAACTGACCACAGTGTGAACCCAACTGACCAATAAGCCCTAGTTCTCGGGAAGAGCAGCTCATGCTCTTAACTGCTGAGCCATCTCTCCTGCTTCAAGAGAAGCATCTTTTGTGGTGGGTAGTGATCAATGCAGAGATGCATAACTTGTCAAAGTTCTAAGAAAAAGTGGCCATGAATGCTCAGCCATAGATGAGTGGAAAAACCTCCAACGTCGATCTAGACTTCAGAGTCCGTGAAGTAGCCAAGTGTAGTTGGCAAAGGCTGGGCTCAGGGTTGGGTCTCTTAGAGTCTGACTGCATCCCGCCTTGAGACCACAGTGGTGTCTGTGAAGAGTTCTCCCATCGCAAGCCAAAGAGAAGGTGCTCCAAGTCAGAAGGTTCCAGCCATGGGGACATTCACAGACACAGGTTGGCATGCAGTGGCGACACTGAAAATATCAGCCAGTTTCTCTCAAAGTGGGTTCTTGGCTGAGCTTGATGTACATAAGTCCTATCTGTCAGACCTGGTTCTGTAGGCACTGTGGCATGTAGGCCTACCAGTTGGCTTCCCTCCATATTTGTTACTTTTGAGGGGTTTATTTTTTTTTTTTTTTTTTTTTTTTTTTTTTTTTTTTTTTTTT